AACCCAGGACTCAGCAAGCCTCCTGTAGGGAGGGAGGGGCACTGAGGGTGGAGGGTGGCACGTGTGCAGGCCTGTGTGTGCACGAGCCCATCTGGGCACACAAAGCCCAGGTCTTGGGCAAGGGGTGGTGGAAAGGGAGGCTCATAAAGGGCTCCGTGCAGCCCCTCTGCTGCAGCTCACCCAGCCCACCTATGACCTTGGCACATATTGGCTCCACCTGGCCCTGCTTGCTGAGGGCACACCCCATACCCAGGCACCTTCCTTGGCTCCAGATGAGAACAAGAGTGGCCTTGTGGCCAGCTGGCACCAAGTGCAACTCATCCTGCCTCTGGCATTGTGCTAGAGGCCTGGCCTTGACCAAGGCCCACTGCAGCCCTCCCAGTCCCACCCATGACAAGGACACTTGCTGCCTCAGCAGATGTCTGTCATGCCATGGAGCCCTCGGGAGGCCCGCTGGGCAGGAAGGGGACCCAATTTTGCTGGCATCTGCCATTCTGTCTCCAGGAGGGACCTAGGGCAGGCCCAGGCAACTGGGGGCCCTTCCTCAGCACCTTAGCTCGGGGATGTCCTTTGGGAAGTGGCCCCTGCTCTCGGTGACATAGTGCCCAGTGTGTGCCCATTGGAGCCTTGCCACACTGAGGGTTCTCACCCTCCCCAAGACCACAGGAAGCCCCTGATACACCTAAAGGCTGTGTGTGTCCCGGCCCAGCACAGGGCCAACGGCAGGCTGCCTGTAGACCCCAAGAGGCAGGCACAGCACAACCAAGGGCTCCTGGGGTCCTGCTACTGCCCATCCTGTGCCCCAACTCCTCAGGGGCCACACGGGGCACTTCCCACATGAGTGACCCAACCCTGTCTGCAGATTCAGTTCCTCTTGTCCAGTTGAGGACTCAGCAGAGCTGCCTATGGGGGGAGGGGCCCAGGGCCATTCTGTGGCTTCCTAGAAAAATGCTTATAAAAAAGCATGAGCCTTTCGGGCAGAGAGGCTGTGGCCTGGGGTCAGAGCCACCCACCCAGAGCCTGACCAACAGCCCTGGTCAGAGACAAAACAGCTGATGTCCCTTCCCCGCACCCATCCTCAGACCTCGAAAACCAGGTGCCGACGGGCCCAACAACAGAGCCTGGTGGTGCCAGGCGGAGGACACACAGAGTTTGGCCCCAACACCTACCCCTTGGCGGGTGTACACTTGGCGGCAGAGACAACCAGCAGCCCAGCCCTTCGCTGGCCGAAGGCAGGCACATGACCCCAGATCAGCCAACTGGATTCTCCCCGGGACTTTGACAATGACCAAAGTGGCAGAGTCACTCTGGCCCAGCAAGGGCTTCCCTGCCTGCTCCCCTGTGCATGGGCCTGCACCCCAAAGCCAGCTCAGGAGCTCCATCTACACAGGGGGTGTTTAGAAGCTTCCACACAAGTCCTTGTATGCTCTGTTGGTTGGTATGTTTCTGTCACTCGCAGCCTCAGAATCCTGACGGTGACCATGGGATGCAGGCCAAGCATCAGGAACCAAGGACCGTGGACATGGTCCCAATACATGAAGACTAAACGCAGGAGACTAAAAGGGCACACGGTGAGATTCTAGTTTTACGTGACCCCTCCCCAGTTTAAGTGCATGGACGGACTCCAGTGGGAGGGCTTTTTTCTGCCTTCAAGCTCTGTCCTATTTTCCACATGTTCCACGGATGTGTATCCCTTTTATAAACTAGAAGAGAGGCGATGAATGCCGTTGTTTAACCAGAGCAAATTTCCTTCCGATTAGTGGTGAGGATGACATCAGGGCTAGCCCTACCCATCGGACATGACCATTCTGCCACTAGGCTGCTGTCAGGCACAGCATTAAACTAAGGTGCTGTGGTCTCTGCTGGGAGACCCCTAAGTGGTCTCAAATCCCCCCTGAATAGTCATTCAGTCTGGGCTCGCACACCTCCGGCCACGAAGAGCTCATCACCTCTCTAGGCAGCATGTTCGGACCAGAGGGACTCTCTTATTTTGGGCTGAGGCTCAGGCTTCTCTCTGCCACAGAGCCTTTGCATGTGCTGTTCCCGCTGCCTGGAACCCTCTTCCCCAAGGTCTCTGCATGGCTACCTCAGTCTTATCTTTAGGGTCTTGCTGGAAACATCCAAGCACTCAGGGCTCTAATAAGAAACAGCTCCCACCCTGGGCAAACCTGAGGCAATTGCTACCATCTGGCCTGGAAGGTGGGCCAGTGTGCCCACTGCAGGCGAGGCTCCAGGCAAGTCCCAGCCCACTGGGCGTTCAGTCTGGCTTGCAGCCTCCATGGAAGGTCAGGTAGCACCTCCTCCAGGAAACCTTCCCTGACTGCCAGGCTCCCGCAGGCCTTGTCCTGACCCCACCACAGCACTGCTACGCCAGGTGGTAACTGTTTTCCTCCATCAGCTCGTAGCTTCCAGAACCCCCTGAATTGGTGGAGACAGTAAGCAAGAATGAGAGACTGGGGGTAGAGAGAGTATGACCTCACTATGTGACTCTGAGCCAGTCTCCTCTTTGAGCCTCAGTTTGCTAATCTGTACAATGGAGACAGTCCTCATCTCCCAGGCTTGTGTGACAAAGGGCTAGTGATAGATGTCCCCACATAGCACTCCGAGAAAGGGTGGCCCATGGGGCTTTCCAGTGGCTTTCACCAGGGCTCCCAATAGCAGATGGTAGGGGCAGGAAACAGCAAAGAAGGGCAAAGTCTGGTCTCCCAAGCCACCCACCCCCCACTCCTGTACCAGGCCCCACCTTCCCCCTGGATGGCTCAGGAAGTAGAAGTCCCCACCACCCCAGCTAGGCCCCATCCACATGGCAGGAGGGGACTGCCAGAACCCTGCGGCGCAGGTCGGGACCAGACACAAACAGGCTCCCAGGCCAAGAGGTCAGGGAGATGAGTCCGCACCACCAGGGGGACAGAGGCAGTAGCCCCCCACAGCTGAGAACGCTTCACCAGGGGAAGCAGGAAGGGGCCCCAGGCCATGGCACATGGCGCCCCACTGCCCACCCACCCAGGGAGGACGCTCCCTCTGCTGCACACCCAAAAGGGAGCAAAGCCGGGCGCCCTCGCATCCCCACCATGACCCTGCATAGAAGGCGCACTGGCCTAGGTTTTGGGATGAGGCAGTGAAGGCTCAGAGAAGTTGAGCGCTAGTCTGCAAGCACCAGGACAGAGGGCAGAGGCAAGACGCATGCCCAGGTCTGGCTCACCCTCCAGCCCCCGCCAGGAGCAGAGGGGGCGGGGGATGGAGACAGGCTGGTTTCCACACCGTGAATTATTCAGTGGCTAATTCTGCTCCTCAGAGAAGAGGCAGGAGAGAGTGAGTCAGAGCCCTCCCACAGCGAAGGAGGGAACAGTGTTCAGGGAGGCTGGCGCAGAAGCCAGGGTCCTCTCGAGGGCAAAGGGCCCTGCAGGAGGCCAGCTGTGCTGAGGGGTGCCTGGCCACCACCCCAAGGCCTCCCAGGGCTTCAGGTGTCTGGCTCTCACTCACTCCCCACCAGGTGTCTTGGAATCCCAGCTGGAAGGCCCACGGGAGGACAGCACCCAGGGCAGGGGCGAGGCAGCCAGTCAGGGTGGTTGGAGGCATGGATAGGTGGCACCCCACGGGCCAGGAGGAAAGCTCTGTGCTGGCCAGACACCCCAGGTGCCCTGGGGGCTGCCCTGGAGCTGCAGAACTGACAAGTGGCCTGGAACCTCCCTCAGCCCAACCTCCCGTCCTGTGGAAGCAGAGTCCCCAGGGGACAGACGTGGCAGAGCCAGCACACAAGTTCCTGGGAGCACAGAGGTGTTGCCCCTACACGGGTCGCCCCCCCTGGGCTGGGCTTCTAGAACATAGGTGTTGGGTTTTATAAAATTCTGTCGTCTCTGGGCACGCCTGGGCCAATCCCTCGCCCCCTTTCTAATCTGCTCAGACACAGGTCAGCTGTGCCGGGGGAGCAGGCACCAGGTGAGCACTGAGGCCGGGAGCCTGGGACTCCCTGCAGAGCTAGGGTGCCCATGGCACCCTCACTCCCTGCTTCTGGTTCTCTCCTCCTGCAGAAGGGAGGCCAAGGAGAACAGAGTTCTGAATAGGCGAGGTGTGACAGGGTCCACGAGATACTGGGCTCCCAGGGCATCCTGACAAGCGAAGCCATTTCCACCCCACCCGAAGGCTGTGCAATGATCGCCAGGCAGAAGCCCAGAGGTGTTCCAGGTGACCAGGCACCCAGATCGAGAGGCCGCTGGAATCCGGATCCCCAGGCAGGAAGAAGGCAAAGCCCACAGCCCAGTCCCTGGCCCTGCTCTCACTCGGCAGTGGCTCAGTGACAGGGTTGGCACGGGGGTTTGGCATGACCCCAGGCCAAGGGCTCCATGGGGAGAGCCCGGTCCACAGGGAGAGGGCTGCAAAGGGCCCCGCCACCCCCTACTCTGCCCAGGCTCAGCCCCTCCAGCCTTCCACACTGAGGTCCACCTTGTGTCCCTGTGGGCAGGCCTCTTCCTCAGGGGCCCCGGGCAGGCCAGGTGTCCCCGAGGCACACACTGCACCGTGTGACTGTCCCACAGCCCCGCAGCCGCAGGGCTCAGAGCTGCGGAGCCCTACGGGTAGGGGCTCTACCCGGCAGCGTTCCCCGTGATGGGCAGGGGCCTGGGCAGGAGCTGACAACTGGCAGAGGGGGCCCCATGGAGGGCAGGGAGGTGGCCCCACGACATAACCCCAGAAGAGAGGGCCTAAGTGACCCCAGGAGGGAGGCCAGAATCTGCAAGAGGGCCGCGGGCCCTGGAAGGGGGCACTGGGGGGTCCTCTGACCCTGGAAAGGGAGTGACCCATGACCCAGGAGGCGACCCTCCAGAAGGGGGGCGGCGTGCCTCTCGATGGGAGGAAAGCGGGGTGTCCTTAGACCCTCAGGAAGGAGGGGGCTCGCGACCCACGGCGCGCAGGGGGCTGTGACCCCCGATGGGGGAGGGGGTCTTCAGCCCTTGGCAAGGAGGGGCCGTGACCCGGGCCCCCGCCCCGCGCCCCCGCGTCACCTGCTGGTAGTCGGCGTCCTCGGGCCGGAACCGGCTGCTGGTGGCCTCCCAGCGCAGGTCCAGGTGCGGCAGCCGGTGCAGGAGGCTCACCCACCAGGGC